CAAAACAGAGTCAAGAATGTTCGTCAGGTCACCAAGCACTTCCTTGTTTACAACATTCTCTTTAGAAACCGAACCAACTCTATTTCCTAACTCACTATGATTACTATTTTGCTCTAGATTGCTATCCACAATATTTGATTCCATCTCTACTAATGTTTCATTTTCTTTTGATCTATCTTTATTAACAAGAGCAACATCACTATATGGCACAAGATTCACCAAGCATTTCTTGATATCCAATACTGCTTGTTTGAGCTCACCAATCTCCTTACAGAGTTCAACTAGAATGTTAGGGGCTGTAAGGTTATTGTCCCCGTTACTTATGTCCTTCTGTGCTACTGCATTTCGTGTTTCCATACACTTTTCCCACACATTTACAGCACTTGGTGTCCCTGCAACATCGCTCCTTACAGCGTCACCTTTATCCTCTTCATTAGTGGACTGAGCTCGTGATTGCAATTGCTGAACTTTCGGTTTTTTAGGACACACCCACGAGCTGGCATTGTGAGCCCCCCCACAATTACAGCATTTTGGTGTAATTTTCTCCTTTGCCTTAATTTTATCTCCACATACCTTAGATTCATGCATTTTTCCACAGAATCTAGACCGAAAATCATTATGGCATTTCCACGCCATATGCCCCCACTTGTAACACTTATAACACATTACTGGAGATTCGTTGTAGACAGCAACCCGTTTATATCCCACACATCTCACAAAGACCTTCTCTGGCGCTGGACCTTTGATTAGCGCAATTAGCTGCGGCATAGGTACTAGTTCTCCATCAATTTTAATTACACGTCTCTTGGCCCAAAAAAATCTATCGTCAGCCAACACATCCACGGGGTCGAGGTAAACAGGATAATCAAAAAGAATGATCTTCATACATTTTCCAATGGACTCCACAGGCTTTTCCATCACTACATTCTCAAATCCTTCTGTAGTTAAATATCTAACTGCTGCCTCATCCTTCACAGTAATATAAGGAATATGTTTACCTTCTTTAAAGAGCACTTGATGGCACTTAGCGAGTCTAACTGACCACTTTACCTCATCATGAAAATCCAGGCCATTATTCTTGGGGAAGTAAAGACGTGGCCTCCTTGATGAGTTGCTGCCGTCTACAGCATCAATGGGGTTTACACTCGTTGTACTGATCATGGTTGAAGAATGACTCACACCATCAATTTTCTTTCTCTTATCCACCAAAAGGGAAATATTATCTTCACTACTTGTACCTTCTCTATTCCTCCTGTTATTCTTCTTTTCGTATTAACAACTTTAAACGGCTCTTGCTCTTCACATTCACTGCTGCTGGACAGCTCCAAATCCAACAACAGTCCTCCTGCAGTACCCTGGGTTACATTGCTGTGTCTGCTGTATCCACCACCCAATTCAGTCATTTAATAAGCGACCTGCTCATTGAAGCTCTTCCGTCAGCCATTACAGTTGGTGTCCAACCAAGGAGGTGTAGGAGAGCGACCTCACTACACTAGTACAGCTTCACTACACTAGTACATCTTCACTACACTAGTACATCTTCACTACACTAGTACATCTTCACTACACTAGTACATCTTCACTACACTAGTACATCTTCACTACACTAGTACATCTTCACTACAACAATAGTACATCTTCACTACACTATTTCATGTTCACTACAACATTAGTACATCTTCACTACACTAGTACATGTTCACTACACTAGTACATGTTCACTACACTAGTACATGTTCACTACACTAGTACATCTTCACTACACTAGTACATGTTCACTACAACAATAGTACATCTTCACTACACTATTTCATGTTCACTACAACATTAGTACATCTTCACTACACTAGTACATGTTCACTACAACACTAGTACATCTTCACTACACTATTTCATGTTCACTACACTAGTACTTCATGTCCTCAATATTAATTCAAATATTGTAAAATTCCAACCATATTAGTTTAAAACTGAACCAAGTCAAGAATTTTGAAATTGACCTCACCAGACATTACAAAGAAACCAACCATCACCATCATGCGCTTTGCAATTGTTGAAGGTAAGGGTCAAGATGCCTTATTGGTGTTCATACCCATTAATCACCTGGAGTGGCTTAACCCCAGGGTGATCCTTGAATACGACCCCACCATGGACGCTGAGGAGTACCCCCCGAAGGCTGTGATTTGGGTCCCTAATCAGTTCATCACCTCTGTTAATTTGGAGATGGTGTCCTCCAGACCACAGACCATAACCCACATGTCACCACCAGCTACACCCTGTTGGGAACCTCACAGGCGCCACGAGGACCACAGGCATGAGGACCACAGGCGCCACGAGGAGCAACGGTTCCACGAGGAGCAACAGTTCCACAGGCGCCACGAGGAGCAACAGTTCCACAGGCGCCACGAGGAGCAACGGTTTCACAAGCGCCGTGACGATTGGTTCTATGAAGAGTGGCGGTTCAACGAAGAGCCGCGATTCCAAGGCCTCTGTCACAACTGCTCAGAGCTACGATGCCGCAGTCGTCAGGCACCGCGGTTCCACAACCATTACTGATACGATTGCTGATCAGTCGCGTCAACCCAAATATAATAAATTGTAAAACATTAATAAAAAAATTTTTGGTTGTTTAATTGTTTTCTTTGTTCTTTATTACATTTTATGGAACAAGTACTGATTTATTTGATTAGATTCACACGAATATTATTTTTTAAATTGTTTTACTTGAAAAAAACAAATTCCAATTAGAGTACAATGATGACTGTGGTGTAGTGAAGAATAATGATAGCATTCCACACGTCTTGGTGGAAACTCTTCAGGTGATCCACAAATATAAAAGGTTTAAAATATCATAAAATAGAGTATTTTTAATTTCTTAATGCAAATAAAATCTTAATAAAAGATAAAATTAAATAAAATAGGAATTTAAAAGCCAATTTATGTAACTTAGAGAACGCTTCTCTCTCACCTTCTCTCTAACCTTCACTCTCTCTCTCTCACCTTCTCTCTAACCTTCTCTCTCTCTCTCACTTTCTCTCTAACCTTCTCTCTCTCTCTCTCTCTCACCTTGTCTCTCACCTTCTCTCTCTGTTAACTATTTTTTTGCACTGAATGGAGAAAATGAAATATTTTTTCATATTCAAACATTTATGATTTTTTTCTTTTCTTTTCTTGTGAAAACAAATAGATTCTTTCAGCTTATTTTGTGCTGTAATGTCAGGTACAATATACAGTTCTGTGATACTGTGTTTTGTACACTCATACTTATTGGAGAATTTTAATTGTTTATGGAGGAGTGTACAAGGTCAGGCATGTCATTTATGAAACAAACAACAGCGGGCCCAATACACTGCTTGGGGTCATGTAGAAAGTCTTCTATCCACGCTAGGACATTTCCCCGAATTCCGTACCCTTCCAGTTTGATTGTCAGCCTTTCGTGGGGTACACTGTCGAAAGCCTTGGCAAAATCTAGGTAAATATTGTCTATATTACCAACCTGTTCCAGAATATGGGTCCAAATATCCAATACCTTGAGCAATTGTGTTAAGCAGGAGCGCCCCGGCATAAAACCGTGTTGGCAATCCTTTACAAGGTTGTTTCGTATTAGATGTTCCATCGCAGCATCTCTGATAATACTCTCAAGTACTTTACATACAGTAGTACCCCGATTTACGAGGTTAATTGAACCCATGGGGTACCGCGGAAAGTGAAAACCGCGTAAAGTGAACATCAGAACATATGGGATTAATTCCAATAGAGAATGGCCCGACCCCCAAACTCCACATTTTCCGACACAATACCTATGTTGTAGTAAAAATAACATCTTAATTTTATGATGGTATGCACACACAATTAATATTTAAGAGAAATACAGTCGCCAGGTTAATGTCCATTCAAATAATGGACTCAAATCTCCCCCCCCCCTTCTTCCCAGCTCACTAGCTCCTACCTCTCTGAGAAATGTTTGAGTGAAAACACTAGATTTTACCGTTTAGTAATAAATAATACCTCAGACTAAAGTTAGCATAATGTAATTGACATTTCTGGGCTCCTTGCAGGTCGGAATATTTTGAATGTAAACTTCATATATTTTGCACAAAAGATAAAATATTTGCTTTGTGTAAACCAAATTATTACATTAGATCCAAAATTTGTATGTCTAATGCAATATCCATGATATTTATATTCAAAATGATCATCATATTTTAAGAATTCCAGCAATGTAAATTATATTCTGGCCGGGTAATTTGTATGAATTTTATGAGCTAAATAAAAAAAAAAAATTATACTTCACCGCGTATATGAGTAGATGCACTGCGGAAAGTGAAAGTCCGGTTCTGGCGAGGTACCGCGTAAATGAGAAATCGCGGAAAGTGAAACCGTGTAAAGCGGGGTAATACTGTGTATGTATGTATGTATGTATGTATGTGGTTATCAGCATATACCTAGATCACGCGCACCTACAGTGATTTACTTGCATATATATACAGTGAACCCTCACTTTACGCGGTTAATTCAACCCACGGCGGCCCGCGTAAAGTGAACAACATAACATATGGGATTAATTGAAATAGAGACCGGGCCGACCCCCAAACTCCACTTTTTCAAACACAATACCTACGTTGTAGTAAAAATAACTTAATTTTATGATGGTATGCGCACACAATTAATAATTAAGAGAAATATCAATAATATTAGGTTTTTTAACACTTACATTAGTAGAAAAGATGGCTGGGCACACGGGGATGGGGGGTTGGTTCCGAGGCAGAGGGCAGATTATTGGCCCTCACCTGTATCACTTGTATCAATTGTATCACTATCCACCACAGAGGCTTGCAGGGCCTCTTTGTCAAACCCTTCAAAGTCCATATAAGTCCATATCCTCACTATCATTATCACTATCACTGACTTGGGCCGGTTTTTTGGGAACAATATCTGGTAATTCCCAAACTAAATGTGAGTCTTCAGAGGAACACACACACACACACGAAGAGGCTCACCTTATGTGTTAATAAGACAGACCGAACAACACTGTCTCTCTCTTTCTCTTCTACTGACACCAAGCCCAGAGTTCTCCCCTCTCGCCCACGCTCTTGCTTCTGTGATTCGATCATCTCCCCGGGGGACCACACAACCCCGGTGTCCTCACGGTACACACCAACCTGGACAAAGAAATTATTGTAAAATATATTGATGACTAAACCCTGACAAGAATCATTTATGCCACTCAACTTTTAATTGAATTATCCTAATGTTTAGATCACATATATACTTGAACACATATAGCAAGAATACAGTATTTGCATAAGCAGAGGCAATACTGTATATAATATACTTTATATACTGTAAATAAACAAAAGTATAGATACAGTATGTGAAAATTAATTCACATATATGTTTCAAATATAAGCCTCAATAAATTTCTTTACCTTAATGTACAGTATATACCGGGTACATACAATATTAGACTCATCCCCGACACCCACCTGACGGAGCCCTGTAGGAGTGGTGTGCTTGATGGTGAAGGAGTTGACCAGACGACCATCAGCAGTGTAGCGGATCCTGTCAGCTCCACCACCCACAGTGAAAGACAACTTCAGCAGTGCCTTCAAAACATCTGAAATGAGCATAACAGTGTATTATTCATCCCTGTAAATAGTATAGAGTTTTGTCTATTTGAAGTAAACTATGTCTTTATCAACACACACACACACACACACACACACACACACACACACACACACGCATGCATGCATAAATCCATACACACAGCACTAAGAGAAAGTAGCCATTGTTCCTTGATAGACACTACTCACTTAGCCTTTTTTATTTTTTTTAACCTAGAGTGGCACCAACTCATGACTAGCACATAATCTTCCATATAGAAAGTGGAAAAAATAACTGAGAACATTTTGTAATACCAATGTATAGTACAGTACTACACAGTAACTTAAATGTTCCTTAAATGTACAAATCAGTGCAAAACTTCATGGAATGTACAGTATACCCCAGTAAAGAGATCTAGGGAAGCCAGGAAAAAAAAACACTAGGAGAAATACCAGAGCACAGGGCAACATGCAGATTATGTAGTATACAAGAGCCCTAAATGTGACCAATTAGGAAATGAGATCAACCAAATTGCATTTCGAGATGAAATTATCCCAAGTCCTTTTATGCGTACAGTATGTCAGGAGTAAATTGAAAACCAAAGGATACTGTCGACCTGCTAAAGGAATAAAATAACGTGGCCCTGGAGGATGACAAATAGCTGATACCTTAGATGAATACTTGGCATCAGTATTCACACAAGAGACAATGGATAGCAATTACAGACGATATCATTAAAAGGAAAGCCTAAAAGAATTGAAAGACCCTGGAGTGTACAGAACACAAACCAAGGTGATAAAGGAGGTGGCAAACGAGATTTTCACCCCATTAAGAAGGTACGAAAAGTGCAGCAGAAAATATAGGCCGATCAGCTTAACATCACATTCATGCAAGCGCTTTGAGAAAATTCTGAAGTACGCCATCAGCGAACACCTGACCGAACATAGTCTTAACAAGGCATCACAACGCAGTTTCATGGAAAGAAAAATCCTGTCTGACAAACTTACTTACGTTCCTTGAAACAGTAACAGAATATGTGAACCAAGGCTCACCAGTAGATGTGTTGTGCAGTATCTCAAAAAAGTATCTGTCCACACTCTGTGTGAGCATCATGAGACCATGGTGATAGATATTGGGACATGTATTTACTTTGGTATTGTTACAAGTACGTAGTTGAGTGGTTACCTATGTGTGTTGGTATGCGTACATGATGGTGCTACAAATGTCTACTATATAATATTATTCTATGCAAAACACAGATAATATGCTTACTTTAACAATAAAAAAAAGGGTGTGGCAGCAAGTGATAGTTGGCGCATGTGTTAATCTCAACAACTTGCACCAGACTCCTGACAAACAAATCGTGGGTGGTAGGGTTTGACCAGCAGGTTCACATTGAGGAAAAGTACTACCACAGTATGGAAAGAAGTATCATAAAATATATTTAATTTTGCAGTGCATAGAGAAATATGACTTGATACACATTGGTCAATAATATATCTTGGGTAGAGTATGTGTTGGACTATCATTACAGACGTGGTTATCTGATAAGTACAGTATTAATTAACGTCAGCTGTATCCGTGTGTGCATGTTCGTATGTGTGTGTGTGTGTGTACTATACAGTGTTACCAGAACAAAACTTCAGTGGGAGAGCTGACTAGGAGAATGATTTTTTCTGAATGACTGTACCTTCTGAATGGAAAAAGGTTCTCAGTGGAGTACTACAAGGTTCGGTCCTTGGACCTCCCTTGTTTGTGATCTACATAAATGACACACGTTGATGAAAATCTATTGAGCCACACTGTCACATTTGCAGATGATAAGAAGATATTTGGGAAGGTAGAAAGTCAGGACAATGTCACAACACTGCAGGTTTCAGACCAGACTTGACCAACAGTGGAGCAGTTCAGATACATTCAGGAGCCAGTGCATGCCCAGTACTGCCAACAGTATGTAACAGAGACGTAACTGACAGCCCAAGGGCTAACCAGCCAATCAGTGAAGAGGATAAAAGTAAAAAAAATTCTCAAGACTAGTAAATGTTCTTCAACATTACGAAATGCAAGACCTTACACGAAGGATACAACAACCACAAAGATAACTTTTCTGTTAATAACAATTTCCTGGATACTGACGATGA